GTAAGCCTCAAAGTCATCAAAGCTCTGGCTCTGACTAGGATTGAACATTGACGGTCCATCTAACTGGTTAGAGACTGGAATCTGCTGATAAATAAGTTAGAAGTCTACATCAAAAGTCTAAAAACGCAATGAAGTTTCACATATTCATCATATGTTAAACAGAGAATCAAATAACTAAACGGTGTCATATGAATCATTGCATACCAAATTGGTCACATAAAAAATCAAAACTTCTTTTTACTAAAAATAGTCTGATGAACTAATAGTGCAAGGAGTCCACTCTACCTAAAACACACCAGCATTTAATCATAATACAAAACACCTACCTCAGGAAGAAGCTCAGTATCAAAAGAATGCAGATCTAAGAGACCAGGACTAAACTCAGATTCATCATTGTTCCTTCTTTGACTCGTTGGACGAGAACCGTATTGAGGAGTTGTTGGTTCTCCAAAGAACTCGTTCCCTCTCTGAGCATTCTGGTATCCTCTTGCTCCTTGTCCACCACCACCAGCATAGTATCCATAATCCTGTGTGTGTTCAAAACTTGAATAAAATTAAAGCTTCTCCGAGCAATCCAAACACCAGATCGAGAATTTGAATCTAAAAGATCAAGAAACCTTGTGGGCTAATAGAAAACGATAGAAAGTTCAAAGCTTTTACATTGGGGGATGGCTGAAAGTGAGGGAGACCAGTGGATTGGAGCCATCTGCCATTGGACATGTCGAGAAGGTTGTCGGAGAGCTGTCTCTGGTGGTGAACCGCCGCTACGCCAGATCTCTGTCTCCCGTTCATCTCAGTTTATTGTCTCTTAGCTCGAATCGGAGATCCTTTGATCGGATCTCTGAAACAAAAGTTTGGTCTTTTATCTCTGTCTGTGTCTCGACAAGGATGAAGTTCAAATTAAAGAGTAGAGGAGCATTGGTCGTTGTTTCTCTCTCTCTCTGTCTCTATTTCAAACGCTCCCTTAAACTCGGTTTCTATGTTATTTTTGATTCTTATATTATAATTAAAATGAGATTTGTGGACCAGTTCATATGGTTTACATAAGAGATATTTTGGATTACATTATATTTACTTTGGATTACATTACATAATCGTTTTACTATCGATAGTTGGTCTTATTAATTCTGTTTATTTTTTTAGGATTGTGTCAACTTTATTACTAGTGCGTTGGTATTTTAATCCAAAGTGGTATGAATCATGATTTAGATTTCACCAAGTTGATCTATAACATATCCATAATCGGAATCATACAAACTAAATCAATTGGTTTGGTATGAAATACTCTACTAGTTAACATTGAATCTGTAATATGAATTGGCAACTAATTTGAATTGAACTTTTACACCCAAAAAATAAACTAAGAAACTAAATTTGTTTTGTTTCAAAAAATAAAATAAAAAAACTAATTTTGTTTAAAAAAAAACTAATTTGAATTGGCACTAATTTATATTTTCATACATTCAGCGAAGAAAAATGATAATTGGTTTATCAATCTTTTTTAAAAAAAAAAGGTTTATCAACGTTTGCATAAATGAAATTCACCTATGTCGGTATTTATTTATATTAATTCCTCCTTTAAAAATTTAAGAGTTACATTATTCACGACTAAAATTTAATTTTATTTCACTTTTTATTTTCTCGTCTTGAATTTTGTTGTATCGAGTGTTATATTAGAAGTAGTAATTAGAATGTACAGGTTTTAGGAAAATATTAAAACACTTTTCATATGGTAGTTGTGTAGCAGAGAGAGAGAGAGTAAGAGCATGTACATCAATGAACCCCTCTTGGGATTTATCTTTAAAATATTTTATTATTATTTTTCTTTTTGTCAGATTTTTTAAAAAAAAAATAAAAAAAAATTAATTGAACTAATCCCCTTCCGACACGTGGTGAACTCCACCCTCTTGGGGTTCACCGGGATGAACTTTTGGAAAGAGAAGTTCATCACTGTTCATCTAGAAAACTGTGTGAACTCCCTTATAAACCTCTTATGAACCCTCAATGTACATGCTCTAAGACTGAAGGAATGAGTAAATTCACGTTTCTCGATCATTACTGATTTGTCTGAAAACCGTAAAATTAAATAAAAAGGAAAACAACAACTTCAAAACACGTGAGTCGTAGTACTAAACGACGCCGTCTGGATCGTGACAAACACATGGTGGCCCACGAAGTTAGACAGTTGTTGTTGGACAAAATTCGCGCTCCTTTCATTTTGTAAATGTTCGTGCTGAGTTCTTTGTATCCGGTCCCATGTCATAAAATATCTTTGGACGGAAGCGTAAATCCCACAAGATAACGCCACGTGTATCCTTCTCATCGAACGGCTATAAATAAAAAACCACCAAAAAGTCATCATCTTGGGTCTTATTAGCTTCATGGAGGCCCACTAAGTTTCCCTTCCTCGTCAATACGACTTCGTTTCGAAACAACACTCTGACTTAACTCTTCTCCCTCCCGACCTAAACTAAACTTCGAACTGTGTAGGAACCTTCCAGACAAAACCACACTCTTCTTTCTTCTTGTCCCTCCTCTATATCTCTTCCACAGTTTCGTCCTCATTGTCATCTCTCAAACCAAACAATGGCTGATCATCACGACCAAGGCGCGGTGACTCTCTACAGCGGCACCGCCATCACCGACGCCGCAAAGAAAAACCACCCCTTCTCCGTCAAAGTCGGCTTAGCTCAAGTCCTCCGCGGCGGCGCAATCGTCGAAGTCACCTCCCTCAACCAAGCCAAGATCGCCGAGTCCGCCGGCGCATGCGCCGTCCTCATCTCGGATCCGCCACGATCCCCCGCCGCCGCCGCCGGAGTACACCGCATGCCGGATCCAACCCTCGTCAAAGAAGTGAAACGCGCCGTCTCCGTCCCCGTGATGGCACGCGCGCGCGTCGGTCACTTCGTCGAAGCTCAGATCCTTGAGTCTCTCGCCGTTGACTACATCGACGAGAGCGAGATCATATCCGTCGCAGACGAAGATAACTTCATCAACAAGCATAACTTCCGATCTCCGTTTATCTGCGGGTGTCGCGACACGGGGGAGGCCCTGAGGAGGATCAGAGAAGGAGCCGCGATGATTAGGATCCAAGGAGATGTTGACGGGACGGGGAACGTCGCGGAGACGGTTAAGAACGTGAGGAGAGTGATGGGTGACGTTAGGGTTTTGAATAACATGGATGACGATGAGGTTTTCGCGTTTGCGAAGAAGTTGTCTGCGCCGTACGATCTCGTGGCGCAGACGAAGCAGATGGGGAGGGTTCCCGTTGTGCAGTTCGCGTCTGGTGGGATTGTGACTCCTGCTGACGCGGCGTTGATGATGCAGTTGGGGTGTGATGGGGTTTTTGTGGGGTGTGAGGTTTTTGAGGGGGTGGATCCGTTTAAGAAGGTGAGGAGTATTGTTCAGGGGGTTCAGCATTATAATGATCCTCATGTGTTGGCTGAGATGAGTTCTGGGTTGGAGAGTGGTATGGAGAGTTTGAGTGTGAGAGGTGACAGGATTCAAGGAAGTGTTTGATTAATGCTTTTGAGTTGAAAAAGTTGTAATGTTTTATGTTTTGTCTCCATATATGGTTTGTGTTTTTTTGTGTTAAAACTGGTGCAAAATGATGTTTTATTTTGTTTAATCGAAGCCCTTACAACAAGATTACATAGAGACTATTATTATAGTTTGACAAGTGCCAAAACATTTTCTGGTAAAAAAAAAGTTGCATGTTCACTCAACCACAGACAGAAACATGGAAGTAAAATGTTTCAAGTATCACATATCATTTTTTTTATTTTTCAGTTCATTAGTTCACCTTGCTTCCATCACAGTGATGGTAACTTTATTATCCGATCCATTTCCTGGCTCTTGTAGCTCAATCTCCATCTCCGGAGAGCTTCTCCGGGGACCATCATAGAAAGCTGGTTCTTTAGGTAAAGAAAGAGCATTACTGCCGTATATCATGGACACAACATCTAACATACTTGGTCTATCCTCTGCGTTTTCTTGTACACACAAGAGAGCAACTTGAACGCATCTCAACACTTGAGGGTTGTCAAGTGCAGAATCTCCCAAAGACTGATCTATCACCTCGCTAATTTTGTTCTCTTTAAACAGGTTCCACGCCTGAAATAAACAAAAAAAAACAGAGTTTCAATAAGGTCCAAAGATGCGAACACAATGAAACAAGAAGAAAAAGTTTAGCTATTACATGAACTATGAGATTCAGAGGCCCTTCTGAGTCATGGTGGAAGCTATTGTTCTTCCTTCCACAAATGATTTCGAGCATCAGAACCCCAAAGCTGAACACATCTGACTTAGCCGAGAATAGTCCTTCTCTGAAGTACTCTGGAGACATATAGCCACTATACATGTATATATATTAACAACCAGAAATTCAAGTAATGTATGAACATAGAATCTTCTCCTTGTATCTAGTCACTCTTTTACTTACAATGTGCCAGCAACTCTTCTGGTGTTGGCTCTGGATTCTTGTGCTCCAAATATCCTAGCCATACCAAAATCAGATATTTTGGGATTCATATCCTCGTCCAATAAAATGTTGCTGGCTTTGATGTCTCTGTGTATCACTTTCAGTCTAGAGTATTTGTGAAGGTACAACAGCCCTTGAATTATCCCTTCCATGATCCTGAACCGCAGGGTCCAATCTAGAACATTTTTCCTCAAAGGGTCTACATAGAGTCCAATGTAATGTTTTGAACAAACAATTAAGCACATGACTGAAGTCAAATAAGTGTCTTAGGGTATATGATTGAATAGTTTAGAAGCCTCAAACCTGATATTCTTTTTTCTTTTAATAAAACTTTCTTATCTACTAAAAGTGGCATTTTACTGGTGCATGATATTTTTTAAGTCATTTTAAAAATCAACATGTAAAACTCACCAAATAGGAAGTAGTCAAGGCTCTTGTTGGGCATGTATTCATATATCAACATTTTCTCATCCTTCTCAACGCAGCAACCTATCAACTTCACAAGATTTGTGTGTTGAAGTTTTGCAATAAGCATAGCTTCGTTCTTGAACTCCACTAATCCTTGCCCTGACGCAATAGATAGTCTCTTGATAGCCACTTCTTCCCAATGTATTAACCTCCCCTTCAAGAAAGTAGCCAAAACATCAAAATCTAATTTGATATTAGAACCTAAAGAACATGTAGTACCTTATATACAGGACCAAAACCTCCTTCACCGAGCTTGTTTGCATCTGAGAAGTAATCTGTTGCCAATGCTACACTTTCAAAGCTAAAAATCTGAAGCTCGTTATCATTCTTCCTTGCACTTCTCCTGTGCCGACCTCTCCTATCAATTCCCAATTCACGTAGTAGCATTTCTTGGTCTATTGCTGAACTAACCCTCATTGCTTGAAGCCTACTCCGTATGTAACCAGTGACTAAACAAAACAACAAGAGTCTCAGTTTTCACAAGAACAGACCTGCTTATACAAAAGTTAATCAGCTAAAAGCATTACTTTGTGGAATGACTTTTCTCCATAAGAAATTGAACATTCGGCGAAATAAGACAGTTACTGGAACAAACAAACAAAAAAAGAAACAAAACTGATGTTAGTAAAATAACAAGATTGATAACAAAGTGTTGGTTGGAGTGATATTATTCTCACATTTAATTTTATATTTCCTCAAAACAAGATAGATGATAAACCAAACCACAGATATCATTAGGAACACTGATACCACAACAACTAGCCAAGTTGCCGCCTTTTCGATCTCTTGGACTCTCTCAACCCGTGGCAGAGCTAGAAAAATATGTCAAAGGGGTCAATTCATAATTAACATATATCATAAAGGTAAATTAAGTAAAATTTACATTATTTTCCCAGTTTTTCAAAGAAATTACATGTAAGAAAAAATATTCATAAATTCACATGGGTCAACATAAAAGTCCAAGGTAAAAGCTGGCCTCCATAGGCAGAAACTTCCTCAAGCTAAGAAAAAAAAGACTCGAGAGAAAAAGTAGATCTGCTTTGGAGTCCGGCGAGCGGCCGGCGCGTGTGCGTGCGTGCCGTCGCCGGAGCTCCCCTTTCTTTCATCAAAATGTACGTCCTTTGATTCTCTTTCATCTCCTTTCCCTTACCGCTTTGTCTGAGCTCTGGTTCAACGGTTATCGACGTCGCTAACTCTGAGAGTGA